GCTATTCCCACTGGAGACAGCCACTGGGTTCCTTGGCTTAGTTCTCCACTTTTATGGAACCCATTTGACAAGAGCCGAATCACTTTGTTTTGAACAGTAAAGCTTTTCCTCCTCTTCCCTTCCTCCAGCCGGATTTGGACTGTATCTTCCCTGCTCAGACTCTGCCCCTCACAATCTCTCCTCTAGCCATACTTAACTATGATTTCCCGAGCAATGTTGAGCCTCACTCCTGTTGCCATTAGCTCCAGTTTGCCCTCATTCTGCTCCCTGCGGAGTTTCGCAGCAGGAGGGGAACGCTGGGAAGGCCGTCACGACATACACATGGGCTCATTTCCCCCAGGCAGAGTCCTTCCCGCTTATCCGCTCGAGGGGGATTGTAACCTTAGGGCCACTTCCATAGCAATGAGCAGGGAAACTGCCTAATGAGGCACCTTCTCTGGGGCACAGCAAAGAGCAGAGGCAGCTTTGCGAAGGAGAGAGCCCCAGGCAACCAACAGCAACTCCGTTGGCCTGGCAGCGCCGCCGCAGCACGCCCAGACGCTTGATGCGGCTGGGGAGATGGAGACGGCGCTATCGAGTGGGTCAGTCTGCCTGTTGACAGTGCTGGGTCTCTCCTGGGAGAGCTTTTCCGGCCGTGGAGGCGTCATGGCCAAGGCCTCACCGTCACAGGCGGGTTATCCAGCTTGGGCATCGGCCAGGCTGCTCCTAAGCGATGCACCTGCTCTGCGGAATTCTGCCTCAAGCCACCAAATCTCCCTCAGTCCAGCCCCTCCAGGGAGTGATGCCCCAGAATGTCCTGTATCAACAGACAACCCACAGCATTGGAAGGATACAGACCGGTTGGAGCAAGTCCAGAGGAGGCCAGAAAGATGCTCCAAGGGCTGGAGCCCCTCTGCCATGGGGACAGGCTGAGAATTGGGCTTGTTCAGCCGGGAGAAGAGAAGGCTCCGGGGAGACCTTATAGCCCCTTCCAGTACCTGAAGGGGCTACAAGGAAGCTGGGGGGGACTTCTTACAAGGGCCTGTAGTGACAGGACAAGGGGTAATGGGTTTAAACTGAAAGTGGGGAGGTTTAGATTAGATATCAGGAAGAAATTCTTCCCAGAGAGAGTGGTGAGGCACTGGGACAGGTTGCCCAGAGAAGCTGTGGATGCCCCATCCCTGGAAGTGTCCAAGGCCAGGCTGGATGAGGCTTGGAGCAACCTGGTCTAGTGCAAGGTGTCCCTGCCCATGGCAGGGGGGTTGGAACTGGATGATCTTTAAGGTCCCTTCCAACCCAAACCATTCTGTGACTCTATGAACGGAGCTGCGTGAGCATGGCTTTCCTGGTTTTGGACCCAGGCAGGCTCTGGATGCTGAGTGGCACCGGTTTGTAAAGCCAGGAAGCCTTTTCTCACGTGACTGTACTGAGGAGCACCCGGCAGGGGCACCCGGATTTGTGAGATGCTCTTGGTTAGGACCCCAGCTTTGCAGCCGGTCAAACCAAACCTGATGCGAATCTCTCCTTGCCTCCCGCTGTTCTCTCCACATGCTGGGAAATCAGAAAGTCCAATGGTAAAAATTGGAGAGGAAAAACATTCCCAAGGAAAGCAAGTGTCCTTTCCAGCTTCACTAGCATGGTCTTTCCCAAGTTCCTTGAGATTTTACTAAGATGACAACATGTGCGATTTGTGGAATCGGTCGCAAAAACACAGCTGCTGGGAAATAACGTCTCTCCAACTCCGAGTAAACTCTGGGCACGTGGCTCTGGAGCAGTGCTTTGGAAGAGTTCTCAAAGGTAGTGTCGCGGCAGCAGGGTAACACTGGAAGTTACAGCCGCAGGGAAGCGAGGGCCATTTAATGTGGAATGTCTCAGCTGCGGTCTGAGCCAGGGAGAGCTTCTTTCCCGTACACCAGGCTACACACATGCAATTCCCAGAACGCTTTCCTTACACAGGCAGGATTTGTTCACACTGGAAGGACAGAAAACAACCCAGGCAGTTTATAACCAGGAAGAAGTCTTGGCTGTGTCTTAGCCATGGAGTTTGCCATAACATAAGCCACATCGTTCTTGCCTTTGAGGATAAGGTTTTGGCTAGTAACAATTGTTCTGTTGGCTGCTGGAGAAAGAGAGCTGGGGGAAGACTAAGACAACAAATCCACAGGCAGCTAAAAAGGGGCATGGGATCACCAGATTTTCCAGCCTTTTCTTCTCTCCACACGTTATTCCATTTGTCGGTGTGTACTGGGTTTAATACACCTGGAAATGAGCAGAGGTGGTGCCGTCTTTCCAGCAACGCAGCGTTTCTACTGTGACAGAACGACAGAGGGGACAGGTCTTCTCCCTGTCAAACCAGAGGCAGAGGCACTCTTCACAGAACACGTGCTGTGGAGACAAAAGGGCGTCATCACGATGGGGGCCGGAGGTCCGGTCTCGTCACTGAGCGTGCACGCTCGACGGGACCGTGATGGGAGTGAGGAGCGGCTCAAGGTCGGTGGGCAGCGCAGCCGAGTAGCGTTGCGCAGCTGATACGAAAATAAACCCCAGTGTGGGTAGTGCATCGGTTTGCCAAAGCTAACGACACCCCACTCTTTCTTCACACAGCAGCAGAAGGAAACAATAAACATTTGGGCTAACAAAGTAGTTAAGAGGGTGTTCTCTACCCTGCTTCCATCCTCAATTCCCAGGGTTATTTTACAGCTCTTTGCTTAGCTCAAACAACCCCCTTTCTTCCCCCTACTCTTGCTGCACTTGCTTTTCTCTGCTCACACCACCCGGTGTGAGTAACTTGGCAGTCCCCGATCCCCCTTCTCTATAAATGTCAGTTTTCACCCCTCCTTTCATCTTCTCTCACTTCTACACTGAGCCACGACAGGCTTCTCCCCCCAGCCTGCCTTGGGCACCAACAGAGAGCAGGAGGGAGGGCTGCCCAGCACACAAGCCCTCTAGCCCCGGACTGGGTGAGCTGGAGCAGGCCAAGAGGGAGTATAAGAGCCAGAAGAAGCTGAGACCTCCTCAGCACGTGTGCAGTCACTGTTACTCCCCAAAGCCTTGACTGATAAGCACACACAGAGAGAGCTGCCTACAGCCTGATAACATCCGCACAGATGTTCATAGGAAGAGTAAGAGGCATTTTGGTGCACAGGTGACCTACTTGTTTTAGTGTGATAACCCCGTTACAAAGCATGGGAGTGTTAAAGCTCTTCAAAGAAAGGCTCTTGAACTTCATTTTGGTGTCACAAGAGAGCACATATCCCACCAATTCCAGTCCCAGAAATGGCTGAATCGTTCTGCCAATGGTTTTCCTGCACGCACCCACAGAGCAGGCCGAGACGGCCTCCCAGCCGCAGGATTTCAGCTCTGACAAAGCTTGGCCAAGTTATAAGCAACCAAAGAGACAATGCTTGGGAAGCATCCCCAGCTTTGCCACGAGGCAGTGCCGTTGGCCTGCCTCGGATGCACTGACAGAGCCCATGGCAGAGGGGTGTGTTTGAGGGGTTGTACCAGCTCCAGATCAGGACCCTGCGTTACTCACACTGTGCCATTCTGATGCTCCAGGGTTTGCCAGTGTTTACCACGTGAGAAACAGGACAATTCCCAGGTGCTGGGAGTGGTGACCGATGTCTACATGCAGAACTACTCTTATTCCTGGCCAGGTGTCCAGACTCCAGACCATGACGCTGTGGTGCTGCACCAGTCTTCGTGCAGGCTCATTCTGGATCTCTGCCCCTCTCGCAGCGCTTGCTCCTGAGTCGCTTGGCCTGTTGACTACTCAGTCTCCCCAGGGGCCACATGAAGATGTCCTGCATTCTCGATCCAAGGGCTGGGCTGCCAACTGACAGCCCCTGGCCTATGAGGCTGCTCTTTTCCATCTCAATAGCTATGATCACCCCCCACAGAGTGGCTCAGCTGTCATGGCCCACTGGCTAGCTGGAAGAGGGCAATAAACACCCACTAAGGCCTAGATCAAGCCCCAGCACATGATTTTAGAAGTTCCTAGGCTAACTACATGAATGCCAACAGGGGAACCCGACGGGGGAAGCTTGGGGTCTTACCTGGCACATAAGGATCAACGGTTCCCTGAATTCTGCCTGGCAAATGGCACAGATGTCACCTGCCTCACTGCACTGCTGGCTGGTAGCACGGACTCCATAGGTCTGTTAGGGAGAGGTGGAAAAAAACCCCAGTGTCAAAGGCTCTGCAGATCATCTGGTTTGTGGCTAAGCATACACGCAGGCACTGTTTGTCACAGCCAGATTCCCTGCATGACCTGGGACGGACACAGGTGTCCTGTCACTGCGTAGGGGGAAGGGAGATTTGGGCACCAGCACACGGAACACAGGGAGTCTGGAGCTCTGTGTTCTGTTTTGTTTTCCCCTCGAGCTGCCTCCATCTTTTAGTGCCTCCACTTGTGGAGCAATGATAATGAAATTTAATGAGCTCAACAGGGAGCTGAAAGGATTAATTCAGCATCATTTGCAGAGGTGTTTAGGTAGTGGGAGGTATTATTATTAGCAAGTTAGACAATAGAAGAAAGAATAACAGCAGCAGCACCCACAGGCTTCCCACTTTTCGTTTCAAATATGTGGAAGGCAAATGTTGCTTCTCCTATTTTAACAGTAGTAGGGGAAATGGAAACATGCTGAGGAAAAATGACGGTCCCAAGCCCACAGGATAAGCAAGGCAAGCTCTAACGAACTTCTATGATGTTATGCTCCTTTCCTCTACAGTCTTTGATTTTACTGTTTTAAAATAGAAGTCCCAGTATTTCACTGCACCAGATCTAAGCATCAGTACAGCGTGATGCGATGCCTGGGATAATTTCTGTGCACTGTAGGATCTCTTCTAGTGTCAGCGCACATCAGGCACTACTTGCTGCTGTTTAAAGTCTTCCTCACGCTCTGCACTACAATGTTTTGTCAGCTTCTCACAACTTTGGCCTCAGCAGATTAATCCATATTATACAGGGCTTCCAATCAGACAAAACAGGCCAGAGCAGCAACAGTCTCTTACTGGGACAGGGCAGATGTAAGAAAAAGTTCCGAATGTCCCTCACACGAGATGCCAGCTTAACCAGCCGTGGGACAACACATCAGTTTATTCTGTGATCCTGATATGCTGAGCAATTCTCAGCTTCAGTGGCAACAAGGTTCCACCTAACATGTGCAATTGCTTACCTGTGGGGTGCAAAGGACCTTCAGCGCCTTCCGGACACTTCCCACACGGCCACAGATGTCAAAAGACTGCAATAAAGACATTCCACTTTTGGTATTTTTCACAAAATGTGTGTATGCAGGCCAGAAACTCGGGAAACATGTGCTACAGTTTCTCCAAATGGATACTCAGAGGGAGCGTAAATCCTGAGTAAGAGTGGTGCCAAAAAAAGACTTCATGGTGGTCATGAAATACATAACAACTGTGAACCGACAGTGCAGAGGGGTGGCCAAAAAAGCTCTGGTAACAACGGACGGCAAACTGGGGACTTTACAGGACAGAAGGAGGAGCAGACAGACATTAAGGGGTGTGGGAGGGTAACTTGCTCAGCCCTGCTAAGTAGGGAAGGGCTGAAATGGACCCACTCCCCCCTGAGAACTGAGCACCTGAAAAGCCCAGAAGTGAGGTTAGAAAACACTGCGGCTAGCTTCAGAAAGAGGGAGGGAAGGGCAGTCTTCTCACATAGAAGAGGCAGAAAACAGCTTTCCTCAGCCTCTAGGGAAAAGGGGGGTTTTCAGGGCTTTGTGGCTCTACCACACAGCTCAACACCCCAGGGCCCAGGTGATATGATGAAAGGAATGGGCATTGCCTGTTCTGCTGCGGAGAGTGATTGAGTGGAGTGCAGTGATTAAACCAAGAGAAGAACGGACTGAGGCTGAGTTGCTCCCATGGGTCTAAACAGTGAGAAACTTCAAAGGCCAGGAAGGGAGTGAGTTTCCAGCACCTTGGTACTTTGCAGACACCCAAAGATGGCCAACAGCAGGGGCAACACCAGGTCCTTTTCTCCCCCCGCCCTTCCTCTACTGCCCCACAAACATGATCTAAGTGCATTTGGAGAGCAGTGCTCATTCTGGGCTCCTCATTAAAGACTAAAAGCAGTTCAGAGCAGAGCAGAAAACGAGCCTGCAGAAAATGATTTCTGAAAAGAGACTGAAAGACATAAATATTTACAGCTTGGCTGAGCAGTACAAAAGTGGGGGGAAAGGTGATAAACTGCCTACAAATATCAAGGGACTGAACACACAGCATTCTCAAAGTGAAGACACCAATAGAAGGGAAAACAGCTTGAAAAGCCTAATGTGGTACGTATGCCACCTTCATCCTCTCTGTCTGGCAGGACACAGGGAGAGACACGATGAACTACCAAGATATGAAGAAATGATTGTGCAAAGAACAGCCCTGCATTAGCTGGGAGAAGGGCCAAACGACATAACAGGGCCTTTCCATTTCTAACCTGAGTGAGGGCAGAGGAAGATGTGAGGCAGAGTATGCAGAGCTGCAGCGTACTAACAGTACAAAGGCACCAGAATGCTTGGATTTGGCTTGCCTTTTTTTTTTTCAGGTTAGCATGATTAAGTAGGCTCACTGCAGGGAATGCCAATGAGATCATCATGCAGTAGATGTGGAATCAAATGAAGGCACCAATAATGCTTCCAGTCAGCACGTAAAAAGGCTCTCAGGGTCCTACCAGTAATGCTTTCAGTCAGCAACTAGCACGTGAGGCTGCTGACTGCTACGTGAGCTTTATCTTCTAACAAGGATAGGGATCAGCTCTTTCCCACAGTCTACAGCTTTTCCTGGTTGCTTTGCTTACAGTGTGACTTCTAATGCCTTTGCTCTCTCCTCTTCTCCCAGCTCATTTCCCCCTTTCATTTTTATTCCCTTTGGAGTTTCCTGTACCCCAGAGCTGTGTGTCTCAGTAGTCTCTAACATCCGTTTATCACCCCATGCACTGAAGTCTACGTTGCCTCAGTCATCTTTCTAGCAATGGGATTGCAGCAACTGGGTTCACAGTGAGTGCTGTTCAGGTTAGGGAAGAAATAAGTCCTGGATGCCCTTACTGATGAACATCTGGGATTTATTCACCACCGTCCAAGGTTCATGTTCATACAGTCCAGAGAGAGAGACACCAAGACAGCTCCCATCAGCGGCACTGTACACCTCTGAAAGGCGAGCCTGCCCTTTGT